AGCCATGACCAAGCTAACTACAATGACTTTGCTGGACCTGCTCCCATAATAAAAATCCATCACAATAATTTTAGTACTTGAAGTAGATATTTATTGTGTAATTTGTCTTATAAAATATAAATCTTTATTAATACTGTTTAAGTCTTTGTAACCAAAAAATAAAAAATGTTAAAAAATAGTTGACAATGATGATGGCCATACCTACTGTTTTTCACACCGCAAATGATTCGTTCAATTTCTTAAGACTAGAAGACTTTGAAAGGCACCTTTCAGCTTCTCTCAATGGGTTTGGCAATTGACTTTCTGCGGGCTCGTTAAGTTGTAGCTATCAAGGTGAGGGTGAGGGACAATTGCTGTCTAATTCCTGTGGAGTCACTCTCTATATTTATGGATTAGCCTTTAGTTGGGTTAGCCATGCCGTATGTTCTCCAAAACATGAGCTTTGGGAATTGTAATTGGTGATGATTTTTTCAACCAACAATCAAAATATTACGTAAGCACGATTAGCTATTACGTAAGCTAATAGTAAAAGCTGGCCTGGGCTCACTCTATGTAATCCATTATTGATTATTCCACAATCCACCTAGCTTTTCTTCGGCCCGGATTGTGCTGGAGCCTGGAGGACTTTTCCTAGCCGACCTAATTTGATCACTTCACTCGTCTTCAGTTGGAGGACAAGTTACCTTTCAAGTTTCAACAGAAAGCTCAGGAATAAAAACACCATCCACATTACACTTCTCTCTCTCTCTCTCCCAGTTTCAGCTCGTAAAACTTGGAAGTTCATTTTTTCAAAAAAGGCACCTACCCAACTCAAGTCGGTTTCAAATTAGTTTAAACCCAGCAAGGCTACTATTCATTTAAAACGAAAAAATGAAAAGCGCGACTTTGGGTAAGGCTTGTTTTTGATCTGACGATAACACCTTGCTGCTCCTGCAAACCCAAAAAATGAAGAAGTTAAGTGTAAACCAAGTTAAGTGCAATGTAAAATCTATTGGGCGACAAGTTACTTAACATGGGATTTGAACAAACCACAAGAACAAATCAAACCCGAGGGTAGACTCAAAATCTTTGAGCACAAAATCAGATATTCTGACATCAATGATTGAACCAGAGACAATAACTCGAAATGTAAGAATTTTTATAAGCCACGGAAGCTGATAAAACACAGAAGAACATACATAACAAGGCTAATCCCTGGCCTTGGTTTCTTTCCTCTTCTTCACAAACTAACATCAATAATAAATAAATCAAAAGATAAAACAAGATCAAAGATGATTTTTTTTTTTTTTT